TAGATATTAATATGGGTTAATAGTCACCTCAAATCACTAATAGGGAGTGTATCTCTTACAGAACAGCCAATGGGCAACCTCCACTTACTTTTGCCATTGCAGCAAAAGAAACTAGTGAAGTACATGTCTCAGAGTGCCCTTGCTTCTTGATTTCTGGAAATTTTCAAGGCATCAGTGCCAAAGATATGTGGCATGAAATTAAAAAGGTTGAAAAATATTTCCTCCTTTATATATATATATATTAGCAGAAAGCTGTTCTTATTGTTTGTCTTGATATGTTATCTAGCTTTTCCTCTTTCCAATATTTCATAATTATTAATCTAGTATATTTTCCTTCATTTGTAAGTTATGTGTTGGTTGTTACAGCCGCTAATATGAACACTTATGATATGAAAATAGAAAGAATGAATTTCATTCAAAAATTATAAGATTCAGTTTAATCTTTGATGACATGACACAAAGCACTACGTTCCTGAACATTTTCTGCATGTTGGTTTCATAAACTATCACAAAGAATGTGTTACTCTCGACTTAGTTTCAAAGAGTAAGATTCATATTGATTTTCAATTAGGAGACTGACTGCCTTTCACAGCAAGAGTCAATTTATGTGCAGACTGCTGTCATAGTGGCCACAGTTTTTGGCAGCACATCATTAATTGATCTTTCCTTCATCTTATTACTTTGTTTGGATGAGAAAGATCATTACAATGCTTTTTGTGAGTGTATGAGTGTATAAGAAGTGAGTAGGTTCTTTACTATTTTGGCTACTGCTATAGGTTACTGAGCACAACATGTAGATCATGATGTCTAAGTTATGTCTCCAGGCAGTCACTTAGGCTAAGTTATGTCTCCTGGTACACCAGAGAACACCGATGTATCATATATGATGATCCTTATAAATTTTGATTTTTCATTCTTCTAGCATGGGTCATTTGACAACCTTGATTATGAAGAACCTTCGCCTTCAGAAGCAGGATCATCCATTGGAGCAGCTGTAGCAGCCTCTGTGACTGTTCCTTCTGATTCTGTCCGTAGAGTCACATTCTCACTTGCATGGGACTGTCCAGAAGTAAGATTTGGTGACAAGACATACCACAAGTTAGTTTCATTGGTTCTCTGAAACTTTATGAATCTAATTTCTGAAAGTTACATGACTTGGAACTAATCAGATATCTCTAATAACAGGCGCTATACGAAATATTATGGCATTTTAGGGGATGCAGCAGCAAATATTGCACATGATTCTATTTTTGGTAATATTTACATGACTTAGATAATGTACAAATTAACCTTGCAAATTTTCTCAAACATATTATTACTGTAGTAGCTAAAATCTTTTCTTTGCCATTAAGAATCAGAAACTCTTCCCTTGACACGGTTTATGGTTATCATTGTTTTATACAAATGTACGGTGCTAACTTGTCTTAGCATCTTTTTTATGGAGGTAAGGATGCATTAACTTTGGCACCGCATTGCTTATCCGGTCCAAATGAGAGACTTATACTTCTGTTTTACAGTACTTGAAAACAACTATGAACATAGCTGAGTGTTTGGAACATGTCATTTGGTGAAATAGCAATAATGCTCACTTACTGAATATTTGTGTTCTGATAATTTTGAACCTAGAGCATTCCAATTGGGAATCCCAGATAGAATCATGGCAAAGACCAATTCTTGAAGACAAAAGGCTTCCAGACTGGTGAGATTATTTGAAGTTTCTGATCAGATAATATGTGATCTTCCAACTTGTTGATGAAATTTTAAAAGTAAGAAAAATTTTCCAGGTATCCTGTCATTCTCTTCAATGAGCTCTACTACCTTAATGCAGGGGGGACAACATGGACAGGTACATATGGAGCTTAATAAATTTATTTTCCAGAATTGTAGTTCAACCCAATTATTGAATGTCACCTTTTACTTTCTACAGATGGATCTCCTCCAATGCAAAGTTTAGTATCCATTGGAGAGAAGAAGTTTTCTCTTGACAGGTCCAGATCACATTTGGGTAATGCAGTTGACACTGCTAATCAAGATGGTATAGGTATTGACATCCTAGAGAGGATGACATCTGTAATTGAGAAAGCACATATTCCTCTAATGTCAAATGCTGCTTTTGGAACCCGTTTGCTCCAGGATGGAGAAGAAAATATTGGTCAGTTCCTCTACCTTGAGGGGAGTGAGTACCTCATGTGGAACACTTATGATGTTCATTTCTACTCCTCTTTTGCACTACTCATGCTATTCCCAAAACTTGAACTGAGCATCCAGAGAGACTTTGCGGCAGCAGTTATGATACATGATCCAAGCAAGATGGAAATTATGAGTGATGGGAAATGGGTTCCAAGAAAGGTTCTCGGTGCTGTTCCACATGATATTGGGCTTAATGACCCTTGGTTTGAAGTAAATGCTTATAATCTATTTAATACAGATAATTGGAAAGACCTGAATTCTAAGTTTGTTCTCCAAATATATAGGGATATTGTGGCTACTGGAGACAAAAATTTTGCACAGGCTGTTTGGCCTTCAGTTTATACTGCAATGGCTTTTATGGAACAATTTGATAGTGACGGAGATGGGATGATTGAGAATCAAGGTTTCCCAGATCAAACATATGATGCATGGACTGTTACTGGTGTGAGTGCTTATAGTGGGGGGCTCTGGGTGGCAGCCCTCCAAGCTGCTTCATCTATTGCTTGCCAAGTAGGTGATGATGCATCTGCTGCCTACTTTCATGTGAAGTATCAAAAGGCAAAATCTGTATATGGCACCTTGTGGAATGGCTCCTACTTCAACTATGACAACACAGGGAGTAGTTCCAGCAGATGTATTCTAGCTGATCAACTGGCTGGACAATGGTGAGAACGTATCTTTCCCTCTTTAATATAGTATTCGAATGCTGCATATAAGGAAAAAAACTTTGACATATCAGTGATGTATGGTACATGTATGTTGGCTCATAATATTATTATTATGCTATGCCAAAACTTTCTACTTCTTTAATTGATCATGTTAACCTTTTATGCAGTTCTATAGTTGCTTTTATAACTTATAAATCACATCTGATTGCCACACAAATATTCTAATCATGCTGCTGTTTGAACTAAAAGCACCATCATGATCTTATTTTGTTGGAGAACTGTTTATTTCTTTATGCTGACTAAATGTGGACACAAACTAACTTGGGTGCAATTACAGGTATGCTAGAGCAAGTGGTCTCATGCCAATTGCAGATGATGACAAAGTGAGAAGTGCACTTAAAACGATATATGATTTCAATGTCTTAAAGGTGAAAGGAGGAACACGTGGTGCCGTAAATGGGATGCTTCCAGATGGAAGAGTTGATATGTCAGCACTACAATCGAGGGAAATTTGGGCTGGAGTTACATATGCTGTTGCTGCTACTATGATTCAAGAGGGAATGGTCGAAACAGCATTTAAAACAGCAGCCGGTGCCTATGAAGCTGCTTGGTCACAGCAAGGTCTCGGGTGAGTTAATTTATATTCTTTACTTTTGACTTTGCAATTAGCTTCTGGAAAACAGCAAGTTACTTTATTCCAATAATCCCATGGTAGCACCATGGAAATCATGAAAGCATAACAGATGAAGATAATATAGAACAGTCTCAATGTTATGTGGTATTTCAGAGAAAATCTTTTGGAAGGGGCAGTTTAATTCACAAAGCAATAGTACAAAAAGATTTGGATGTTTGATAGTATGATGCTTATAAGCAAGTATACATTGACCAAAACAAATATATCATCAAGCTTGTCCTCTACCTTCATTCTTGTAGAATTTGATAGCCTTAGAAATAAGTCTCAAGAATGGATGAGGTTTACAATTTTGTGTTGGTATTTCTGATCATAAGATACTTTCTGCCATATCTGCCCCCCCCTCCCCATCCTTTTCCATTAAAAACAAATGGAGAAAGTATCAATTTCTTGGCATTTGTATATTCTCAGAACTAAGTTTCAAAAAAAAAAAGGTTCTTTAATTCAATGCCAGACTTCTGAGTACAATGCAAGACACTAAATCACAAAATGCTAGGACCAGTCCTATATACCTGACAGGTAGTAGGGGACTTAGTTCCACCACTAGAAAAACCAGAGAACTATATTCTTCATTGGAACTATGATTGAATTTCTTTCTGTTCAGTTATTATAGGTGTTGGTATTGCTTTACAGGTACTCTTTTCAGACCCCAGAAGCCTGGAACACAGATGAGCAGTTCAGATCCCTCTGTTACATGAGACCTTTAGCAATATGGGCAATGCAATGGGCTTTGACAAAGCCAAAACTCTTCACAGAGGAGATGAAACATGGAGTGATTGATGACTCTTTATACCATAAGCAGCATCTGGGATATTCAAAAGTGGCTCACCTCTTAAAGCTGCCTAGTAAGGAGGAAATCTCTAAAACCTTCCTACAGTCTGTCACTGAGTTCATTTGCAGAAGAGTTCCAATTTGATTGTTAGATCACTAAAATCACTTTGGGAATTTTCAATAATTTTAGACAACTTCAATTTTCATTTTTATTTAATAATTATGTCTCACATAGGGAGAGATACAATATAGTATTGTACACCCTTCCCTCATATTAAATAAAAACTTTTATATCTTTTACAAGAAGCTGATGGAGACTGAATTCCCACAGCATACAGGTTTCATGACTCTAATTCTCTGAAGTAACATAATGGGTCGATTTTGAATAGAGTGCACTGATGTAGCTCAAATAGTCTTCCCATGTATAGCTTTCCCGAGATTGTTGCGTACAATTATCGACTCACAGTCAAAGATAACATGTCAGCACTGTAAAACGGAGTTAACCATAAGGATCAAATTATACCAATTAGCAGAGGACATGGATTGAACAAGACAAATTTTGTTTGAGAGGGACTAAATTGAACAATATGCTATAATACACGACTTCTCGAGTAATTTTACCAATTTAGGCCTCGGGAAATGCTGTTTGAGTTGAAGCTTAAAAGGCGACAGAGGTTTAGCAAGTATTAACTAACAAGAAAATGGAGCAAAACTCGTGTTTCATCCTCGGACAACGAGTCCACTCATCGACCGATCCACGCCGAGTGGGCACGGTCCAGTACGTAGGCAACGTGGAAGGATACTCAGGCACGTGGGTCGGGGTCGACTGGGACAATGAAGGAGATGGCAAACACGATGGCTCCATCAATGGAGTCCGATACTTCCAAGCTGGATCCCAAAAGTCAGGTTCCTTCGTTAGAGCCCAGAACCTCAGTCCAGGCATTTCACTGCTTCAGGCTCTTAACCTTAGATATAAATCCCACTCCACCAAAGAGGATGAGGGTAACTCAGCCACTCACTCACTCAATCACTCAAATGCCCACCTTATTGATATGAGATTTTGAAACAAAAGAAATACTTAAATGTTTTTCAAGAATTGAACAAGTAATTATTTTGTAACTAAATATATGGGATTTTGCCTCTGTACTTTGATATGGGATTGTACATGTTTGGGCCTAATAGGAGATTAAAGGATTCTGCTTTTGCAGATGAAATGTATGTTCTTTCAGCCAGCAACAAGCGTGTGTCTGTTCAATTATTGGGTAAACACAAGATCGAAGATAAGTTAAGTCGATTTGAAGAGTTGAAAAGTGCTTCAATATCCTATTTGGGTGTAAGCAGTCCTGGAGGCCCGGCTGAAATTCGTGCTGCTGTGCCAAGTGAGTTGGTCTTTCCTTGTAACTTTAGTGCTCGGAATGTTCTTTAATGCGTCGGCTAATTTTTAAGTATAAATCTTGATAGGCCAAAAATGACATTGAATTTTATGGCTTCATGATTTTGTGTATTTTTTCCATGTCAATGAAGTTAAGAAGAGACCTTATTGCTGATATGAAAGCATATAATAACTTCTTTTGTGGATATAAAAGATTATGTTGTATTATAAAAGTTTATAAAAGTATCCTTCTTGAATTTACTTCTAGGTTGCAGGTCATTTAAGTCTTATTCTGCTGGTTATGTGGGTTAGCTGTTTGTGGCTTTGAATTTGCTTTTGATATTCTCGCATTTTTTATTATCTATAACTTGGTTTTCAGAAAGAGACGTGAAGGGAATAAGGGAAAAAAAACCCTTGGATGCTCCTAAAACGTGAGAATCACTGATTTTAATATTAAAATGCTGTATGATATTGTTTCTCAGTGGATGCCTTAATAGAAATCAATAAATTCAAGTTTATATTCGAAGCCATAAGTCCTTATACATTTGCTTTAATGTTTGAATTTACTCTGGTTACCCTTTCTTAGGTACATGTAGTCAGCTTTTTCCTACTTGGGAGACAAGATTCCAAGTTTTGGTTGTGGCATTGAGTAGAAGTGACAAATAGTTTTACTTTTGTGCTTGTTTCATAAGCTTGGACAAATTATTTACACGATACACAGAATGTTTTGTACAAACATATGCATGATGACTGAGCTAGTTGCTGTGTTATGTTTCAAGGTTTTAAGATATAATCCTTAGCTTTGATACATTTTATATCTTATTTTCATAATTCTTCACATTTTAAGGCAGCTTAAACCAATCAATGTGAACTTTTTTATTTTTGGATTTTTAGCATCTAATTGTTGCATTTTGCTGAATAAGTTGCTGATCCTACTGATTTGATTGATCTTTTGCTAATAATTATGTTCTTATCACAGATTTAAAGGAACTTGACTTGACAGGAAATCTGATTTCAGATTGGAAGGTACATGTGAATCTAGTTGAGGCTACCTTTACTAAAGATTGTCTTTGATTGAACAGTTTGTTATAGCATTTACATGCTTTCTGTATTTATATTAGCTTTTGCTATTCACATTATAGAGCACACTTTCTAGCTGCTAGTGATTGAATAAGTTATTTTGGGACCTTAACCGCTCTTTCTGGATGTACTAGTTCTAGATAGTTTTAGAGAAACTTTAGCTCAGGAATGTACTTGAAGTTGCTAATTTTTTATTTCATTGATCGCAATGAATTACTTGAGATTATTTTGGAAATAACTGTTTTGGCCGTAAACAAATAAGGTTGAGGCAATTTTATCTGAACTTGCCATGCATTGCCTGTTTTATATTTTTCAGAGTTGATATACAGTGATACAAATATGTCTTAAATGCAGAAAATTTTGCCTCTTTGCCAATCCTTTCACTGGGTGCAATGTATTTCAGGAGCCTATATTTGTATTTTATGATTGTTATTATTCTGTATACTGTTTCTTTATGCATGCTTTTGTGCTCCAAGGTGCAAAGAAATGTTTAGAGAACATTGCAAAGTTACAATTGCGGACATGTAAAATTCTCGTAGGAGTATTTTATAAATGTTGAACTGCTGTTAGGTTTATTCTTCTGCATGTTTTGACATCTAAAATTTATTTACTTATGTGGGGCATATATATAATTTATATCAATTAATGAGAATATTATGCATTTTTTCTAATGAGATCATTATTGAGTTTTTTTACCTTAGATATAATTATTCTGCTTTAACCTTAAGAGACTGGCTATATGTTAATGGTTATATTTACTTGCTTGTGATTCTGGAACTGCTTTACTAGTCCATTACTGCTTGGCACTGCATGATCATGCTCTCTTTCTTGGTTTACTCATGTTTGAATCAATCTTTTCTTGCAGGATGTTGGCACCATATGTGAACAGTTACCACAACTTGTAGCACTTAATTTGTCTAATAATTTAATGATACAAAACATCACTCAGTTGCCCCTACTTAAAGGCATCCGTGTTTTAGTTTTGAACAATACAGGCATAAAGTGGTCACAGGTGGGCTATACTTCTTTCATTTGTAGAATATTCTTTTGAATGATGTGAAGATGTGTGCTTTTTTAAAAGTAATGACCAGAAGTGGCATTGTTTTCATCATGGAAATGATAGTTACCTGCAAATTAAGTTTTGCAGGGTAAGCAGAAAATTGAGAGAGAGAAAGCAAAGAACTTATAGTCTTAAGATCCCATGAATTGAAGGTAGTTGGTATCTTTTTGACATGGCAGGTTGAAATCCTTAAACATTCATTACCAGTGATTGAGGAGTTACACATGATGGAGAATAACATAAGCACCATAAAGGTATAACTTGTTTAACTTCCTTGAAGCTCCAATAGGATTATGTGTTCAAACTATTATCACTCTGGCTTTTGTTCAGTGCCCTTTTATTGGTTATAATGTACAGCACACACTACTTTTGCATGCCTGCTTTTATTTTATATGTTTTTTCCTGCAAAATGAAAATAAAATGAAAAAAAAAAGTCATTTTTTGATCTGCAAGATAGTTGTAATGAGAGAAGTGGATAAAGGGTTTTCAATTCTTAATTTGTTGAACAGACTATACCACTATTTGTACCTTTCCATTGTAAAATATTCTGGATGAAACTGATCAAGGGTTCGTGCGTAAACTTCTGTTTTGACTTTATCTTGTTCTTGAGATCCAAGGCCCTCAAGGAAGAATAAAGAGGTTTTTTGATATTTGCTTATTCACTGTTGCCTTTTATTTTGTTCTAAACTTTTGGTATATTCATTATTTCAAACACTAAATATCACTGACTTTGTGATGCATAACTCTGCTTTTATATCTCTTTTTGTTGTCAGCCAACATCTTCATCAGCCGTTCAAGGATTTAATTCTTTGCGGCTTCTGAATTTGAAAGATAATTGCATAGCTGAATGGGATGAAATCTTAAAACTTTCTCAACTGAAAAGGTCAGAATGAAGTGCATGCATATCTGCCAAAATGTGTCCCTATATTTTCTAGTTGCTGAATTTTTGTAACAACTCGCAATGTGATGCTTGGTCTCAGTTTGGAGCAGCTTTATTTGAACAAGAACAAGTTGACTAGCATCTTTTACCCAGATAATAATAAAATACAAGAATTGCTCAGTAATCATGAGTCGTGTGAGGAAAGTTACTTGCCATTTCAAAATCTGCGATGCCTTCTTCTTGGTAATTTATCAAGTGTTCTTTTTTCCAGTCATTTGGCCTTTTCCCCTCTCTGACATATATATATATATATATATTAATTTTTTTATGCTTCAGGAAGTAACAACGTTAGTGATCTGGCTTCAATTGACTCGTTGAACTCATTCCCAAAATTGATTGTAAGGTTTCTTCATCTGAAACATCTCTTCTAGGTGCTTGGTAGTGGCTTCGGAGTGTACAACATGCTGCTACTGTAATAATTAATTCTCTGGTGTAAAATCAAATTTTTAAGGTTAAGTTGACACTATGCTTGCAAACACCAGTTGTTGCATATAATGTCAATATTTGATATACTATAATTCTTGTATAGCACCATAACTGTCCACTAGATTGGGATTTCTCCCGTTATCCTTTTCCCATTATGTCACATAAATCAGGATGCCCAAACATGAAGCTGGATTAATAGAGACAACATGTACTTTGAGATGGTTCTGTAAATATATATTTTTGGTGTTTATCTTTTCAATCAACTAAGTTTTGCGATAAGTATACCCCTTAAACTAGTCCTTGAATCAAGTGCGAAGTTAAAATCTTGGATAAATCAACAAGATCTTGATGATAGTAGACTTTAATCTTCACTATGATTCTTGATGTTGAACTTAAAATTGTTTGTGGTCTTTCTCTCTCTTTTTCTTGGTTACATCGCAAATGTTTAGCTTCTTTTTTGAATTTTCTTCTTTCCTTACTTTAAGGACATCAGGCTTTCTGATAACCCGATAGCTGATCCTGGAAGAGGTGGTCTCTCTAGATTTGTTTTAATTGCACGATTAGCAAAAATTGAAATGCTAAATGGGAGTGAGGTAAACTCTAGTAGCTGCATAAAAGGCCTGCTTCTCTTTCTTTCTTTATGAGATTCTAAAGAATCTGATGTATTCTTCTCGAACAACTTTTCAGATAAGTGGTCGCGAAAGAAAGGAGTCAGAAATCCGGTATTGTTTTTCTGTTCAACAGTCCATTACTTCGTTCTTTTCTGAAATGAAATCATGCTTTTAAATCTGGCTTTTTGTTTCACTCTCTCTTTTCTTAATCTCGCATATTCTTGATTTAACATTATTTACTGCAGTTTTCTAGTTTCTGCCTCAAACCTTTGTTGTTTCATATATATTTACCTCCTTCGTCAAAACATTGGTTTAAGGCATGATGCCATTTTTTTTCTTGGAAATTAAGGCATAATGGCAGTAATTAATTCTGTGAAGCACACCATAATGGTTCCTGATACATGGTTCCACTTGCTGAAGTTATCAGTTCATGCTAAACTGAGTTCCTTGGCGGATAGATCATGAGAAATGGTTATTAATATTATCATACATATTTTAATTTTCTGGTGTCACACTGCTCATGTGAAGCATTTAAGTCCTTTTTCTGTCATCAAGTAAAATCGCTTATCTGTCATGCCAGGGAAATTAGTTTAGAAAAATCATATTAATCTCCAAATACTGTTTGTCTTGTGTCATTTATGCAATAGTTACAGCAAATCATAGCTGGGTGATGATAACTTATTGATTTCTATTAACCTTCTTCATTCAAAGGAGTTACATCATAAGGATAAATACTGTAAATACTTAGCGCTTTGTATTCAAATCATCTCCACCCTCTAACATTCAATTGCTACCAGGCAATTGACATTCATAATATTTGACTAGGGAGCTGTATTATCTTATAATTAATGCACAATGTTGCTTGCAGGTATGTACGCTCAGTAATGTCAAAGTTGCCTGATACTCCAGAAGAGATTAAACGGCTTCATCCCCGGTAAATTTACTACAGTGAACTATTGTGTATAACTGACAATTCTTCCTGCTATTCTGAACTTAAACTTCAACAACAGGTTCGTTGGGTTGAAGAATTTTCATGGGATTGAGGATGAAAGGCCATCAGTGGGAGCAGCAGGCCCTCAGAAGATGGCTTCAGGACTCTTGTGTATGAATCTTAAATTTATTTTTCTTCTTTTTCCTACTTCTCATCAACTTCTTTCTGTATGCTCTTATAGCAGATTGCATCTGTGTATATAACATGCAGCTGTCACTCTGAAATGTGTGGGCCCATCAATCGGTGAGAAGCTTCCATTGACAAAGAAATTGCCAGCCACTACAACAGTTATATTCTAGACCATTTCCTCCAACCATATTTAGTTGGATATGTGTGAAAATTCACTCACAATTAGTTTTGTTTATTTTAGGTTGGCAAGTTGAAAGTTCTTTGTGAAAGTTTCTTTAAACTAAAGTTCCTGAAGCTAAAATTGTTTCTTCAAGAAGAGGTTTGTCTTATATCGCATTTTTTATGTTTTTTTTCTCTTTTGATGTTGTATTCCTGTCCTTGTGCTATTTCGTTTTTTTCTGGACCTTGCTGGTGATGGTTCTCTTCGATTTCGTTAATCGACCTAGGCCTATGTCAAAATCTTTTCAGAACTAGGGCATGACTAAGATCGCTACTATTCCAAGTGTTAGAAGGATGCTCTCTTAAGCTTTAAATACCCATAAATTATAAAATATCATTAGTGATTAATGTTCAAATTTGCAGGGTTCTCCTTTACCAATGCTGCTTGATGATGAAATGGCATCTTTAATGGACATTGGGGTTGGCACTGAGTCAACTATTCTTGTGGATGAAGAGAGTTAATGAGCAATTTGATGGAGTTGATTTAAGTTATGATGTTCCATGCTTCAGAATATTCAAGGATGCTAGAATGCAAGGTATCATTTAATCTCTCCTTTCCTTATTTGCTTCAAGCTACAGGTATTCAGGAATGCTTATGTGTGCCTTTCTGTTTCTTTTTCAGTTGCTTGGATTATGCTTTTGGCATGAAATTTTTCTTAATAGGAGTTACTACACGACGCATGCTGAGATGAGGTCCGTTTTAGACTTTCCAGAATCAAGAAAGATACAAAAATGATGGGTTTTGATTTGTTGTTGAAATGGCTGTGTCACGTTCCTAAAACTACCATGAAGGGAGGCCTCAAGTAAGACCATACCATGAGAGTGAACCTTATAAGTTTATGTAATATGGTAGGGAGGGACAGTTTTTGGCCCCCTTGTGTGAATTTTAGCATTAGCATTCTATGTGTTATGGATGGTAAGTGCACCTTGTTATTGTGGCTTTTACAATCTATACTTTTGATGATTCATGATCAGGGCAGTAGATTATCGCCAATTTTCTTCGAGACCTGGATTAACAAGCTCTAGTCAAGTCTTGGACTTTTAATTAATGTTATGATGATTGAAAGGAGTCCATGTATGAATAAAACATTTTTAATATAATCAACTAACAAATGGACCAATGGATCAGCATGTAGTTGCAGAAATTCTAATATAAAGTTGGAACATGACGTGGAAAGAGGAAAGCAAAATTGAAATTGCACAATCTATAAAAATAATGCCCATTGATTTCTCGAAAGAAAAAAAAAAAGGAAGGTATAAAACTTAAAAAAGTTTTTGTTATAAAAATATCTATTTATCTAATTAAATTTTTTATTTTTGATTATATTTAAATGAGTCTTTAAATTATTATTTCAAATTAAATGAGTTCATATTTTTATCTTGAATGAATATGTATTTCGATTTATGGAGTATGTAATTCTTGTTACTTTCAACGTCAATTGCCCTTTTCTTCTACCTATATTTAAACATATGATTTGGTTAGTTGCATTTACCATTACCATTACAATCCACTCAAACCACAATAAGGGGGCAATAATAATACCATTAAAAACCACGTTAGCTGCATTTAGATGGCAATATTATCCAAAGGGCATGGGGAAAAAAGAAAGAACCTAGTACCACCCACAGTAAGGACTGAAATAGACACAGCTACAAGACCTCAAAAACAAAATTAAGGTCACTACCTACAGAATGTCCAGTACATGACCACATTATCACTGATACACCAAAACTACAAAAAACTGTCAACGCGGTGCAGCATACATCTGGGTTGAATCATACTGCTGATATCCAGGCTGTGGGGATACTGTTTTGGCATACGCAACAGGTGCACTACCTGGCGCTGCTGCATAACCACCAGACTGCGGAACAGACTGATCATAGGTAGGCTGAGCTGCTGTTGATTGAGCATAAGTCGTTTGCCCACTTGGTGCTGCACCATATGTTGCTGCAGAGGCACCACCATAAGCAGGATCTTGCGCCCCTTGATAGCCATAACCTGCATTGGTTGGAGCTGGTTGTTCAGAGTAACCCTGTTGTGAGGGCGGGTATTGACCATACCCAGTAGCAGTACTTGCAGGTGCATAAGCAGTTGCTTGCTGAGCAGAAGGCTGACTATAACCAGGAACAGGCTGGCTACCTTGATGCAGATAAGCCTGGCCAGTCACAGGCGGGGGCTGACTATACCCATCACTGGGTGGTGCAGAACCATATGGAGGATAGCTTTGTTGCATGGGAGCACCTGATGCATATGGGTATTGTTGCTGAGAAGGCACACTCACATTCGGACCATATGACTGGGCTGTTGGACCTTGATATGGTACTTCTGGTTGATTGGCTGCAGGACCATATGTTTGGGGTCCTTGTGACTGCATGCCATATGATGGTGGCTTACCATACTGCTGCTGTGGGGCATATCCAGGTTGAGGACCTGACTGTGCATATCCTGGCTGAGAAGACCCATACGGATGCTGAGCTTGGGTATGATTTTCATACTTCTCTTCATATCCATGTCCATAGCTATGCTGATGAGCAGTATGGGAATAGGCTTGATGTGAATAATCTGCTGGACCATGAGGCTGACCATAATTATAATTTGACTGAGCTGATGATGGCCCCATAGCTGGAGCAGGTGCAGGGCCATGCACAGGAATTGGATTCGAATGAGGGCCAGAGGCACTTCCTTGTCTGCTGTAGTAATCATAACCTCCAGTCTGTGGAGGTCCTTGCATGCTATGAGGCCTCTGCTCCCAACTAGAGCCAAAGTTGCTTCTTGGAGCCATTTGATGAGAAGGGTAGCCACCATAAGGAGGATGTTGGTAATGAGAGTTTTGAGACGGATACGGTCCCCGTTGCTGATAATCATATGATGCAGGCTGGGCAGGATGGCCCCTGGGTCCCCATTGAGGTGGACCAGTGGTTCCTCGAGGTCGGTAGGGTGGCTGATTGAAACCACCAGAGAGAGGTGATGGCCTGACAGTCTATTCATTTAACAAAATAACAAAAAGTTAGTTAACAGAAGGAATTTCATTCACTGATAAAAAGAAATAAATCAGAGAAAGAGATAGTAGAAAATAAATCTCCACATTTGCTTAGATTACATAACCATTTTACTTAAAACAAAACAAACAGGCTACTAGGTCCCATCTTGGTTCAAAAAGAAAGCAAACCCAAATACAACAGCAGCAATGATGAAACTAATGATAATTTAAATAAAAATGAGAGATAAGAGCAAGCTGAGATCTTAATAAAGCAGAAGAGGAATAAGTCCATTGCAACACAATCTTCAATCAAACTGTTACGAAGAAAAGAATAACCAACACAATGAATATCACCTCTTCGACATACTAAAATTCTATCTAAGCAGACTAATCTCACCATCGTGTATTTCCCTCCAAAACAGATGATTAAAAGAGTGTCAAAGCTATCCATAATCAAACACTAATCGGAGGAGATTTAATGCTAATTATTAAAGACAAGATTATGGGGTTTCATGAAAGTTAATAACTGAACCAAGATAAAGTGAACCTCTAATCTTTCAGGCATCTTAAACTACAAAAAGATATGCTAAATTTTTCACATCAGATCATGTGATCCAAGTGATGTAGCATGATATAAATGTAACACCATGTCATATTCTTTCCCTGACCTTTAGAGCAATATACTTATAGAACATTTCAGGCATATTCAAGAAGGTACTGATCCAATAAACATTTCAGACATGATGACTTCACCAGGTGCACTTCTTCCGACACGTCTCATGCATAGAACAGCGAGGGCGCTTACATGCAGTCTCACTACATTATTATTTCTAACTTTCAAGTCTCAAAGCAATCTTACCAACTATTAACATCTTGCAATGCGAGTTTAATGCCAGATACCTCTCTTCAGTGGATGAAGGGGAATAGTGGTTGTCTATTGCTACACCAAGAAAGCAATGCTGACCCCATGGGAAAGGCTATCCAAATCTGCAGATTTTAAAGCCAACCAATTCGAAATTGGCACCTTCAACATAAATAAAGCATGGCAACCGACATCTTGGATTGAATATATTATCGTCCTAATAGCATTCAAGTGATGTTGGCATAGATTCACTCTTACAGTTCAAGAAATAAAACTCTCACTCCCGTGGAGAAACCATAAAACAAGTCTTCCTCAAATTGGATGGCAAGGTGTCATATAGAAGAAAATGCAGTTGGGACAAACAAGCATGTCATAACTACAATTGATTGTTTGCTTTGGCAAATCCTTTGAATGAGATAGATCTGTTCCCACCCATTTATATATGATCTAAGACTTGCAATTTCAAATATTTACTAAAACCTATCTCAAAAAGGGTATATTGTTATTTGTATAGAGAAGGAAAACGCTAGCACCACAAATAACCAATTCTACATGCATTTGTTTTTTTAAAACAATGTCATTAATTGGAATATCTGTGATCATATCAAGTGTATCTTGCAGATGCTGTGAATAACAGATTTAGAAAGTTACTCCACTAAGCTACTCCACTAATTCCCAAGTACTAATCTACCAGGAAATCATACAAGCAAAATCCCCACCTAGACCAAGTAATAATATTTGTTCATGACATGTTCCTAACTAGCATCATTCATTTTCACAGATGTGTTTAAGTCATCAGCACAAAAATATAACAAAATGTGGCTGTTTCAGAACAAAACTCAGCAAATAAATTGATCGAGATAGCAAAGATCAGTTATACCAAAAGTTCATTGCTGGCAATTCCATAACAAACTAAGTCAATCTTTCATCAATATAAATACTGTAATTCAAGTAACAAAATATTCAGTAAAGAAAAATAAAGAAACACTCACGCTGGATGGAGTTAAAATACCATCAGCAAATTAATTCTAAAGAAGATGACACAAGGTCCAAAAACAAACCTGATTCATAACGTCTTTTATCATTTCTCTCGCAATCTCAATCTGCTTCTTATCACCAGTCACTCTTACTGTCCTTTCTTTAGATCCATCCCCTTCTGGGAGATGTTGAGGTATCAACTAAACAGATATTGAATTATAAGTATTGGAAGAAGCAGTTTTGCAAGAACTTCAATCCAGACCAAGGCAAACAAATATCAACTACCTGAATACGTGCCCCTGACCTGGTCTGCAGTCCTTTTATAGTTTCCCCACCTCTACCAATGATTAAACCAACCTGAAGCAGGAAAGATGGCACACACCACAGTCAGGAAAACTTAATGCATGCCTGAACATGTGTGATGATGCATGAGCACCTCTGCACATGGTTGTGCAGGTACTATAGGGCAAAATGAAAGAAAAAGGAATAACCTTCTCATTAGGAACTTGTATCTCAATATGATCAGCAGCTCCAGCAGCCTGTGTAGTAGCAAGGCCCCTAGCTACAAGGGAAGGAGAACCCCCAGCATCAGCCTGAAACAAATGCCCCAAGTTAAGCAAATGTCAAAGGAAAAGGAAATAAAATTGGCAGTGGAAGGCAGAGAGCCAGGTAAAAAAGTAAATAATGAGAGAATAAGAAGGGAGATGTGAAGAGACAAATTTTAAAAACAGCACACCTCTGCTATGACAGCATTTATAAGCTTTTCCGCCTTTATTATACTGGTCAAAGTCCCTATTATTTCCACAGGCCTTGTTGAAGCTTCCCGATCAGCATCAGCATCCCTCATAATTTGAATTTTTGCCCCAGAGTTGTATTGCAGGTACCTTATAGTATCCCCTGCCTTGCCAATGAGAACTCCAACCTGCAGCAAGCATTCATGAAATAAAAATCACAAAACATGCTTTCCAAATAAATTGAAGTTGAGCTTTTCATTAAACACGTAAACTGAATGAGCATGACTGAGGTGACGTCACATCCATTGAACAAAAAAATGCAGGAAAGACATTTAAGGTAGTTTAGATATGTAAAGAGGAGATCCCTGCTAGAAGATGTGAGTAAATGCAGGATATCCAGGTTAAGATAGGGAGAGTTAAAAAAGGACCCAGCAAAAATGGAAAAAATTAATAAAAGACCACACTTTTCTGAGTCACTACGGACATGGTACTTAATACAATTGCCATTCAAGAGGGTTAGTTTTAATGTTTGTTGATGTAAACTACAGAAAAACCAACTTACTTCATGCTCATGTCAACACATCACACATTGAGACAGCTAATATTAGCCGGCATACCTTAGCATTTGGAACCTCCATTTTGCGGGTGATAGTTGAACCATCATCAACCTCCTGCTGATTCATCTCCTCAGAAGGTTCTTTATTATCCTCTTTAGCAGGTTCCTGACCATTATCTGTCTCAGAACTCTCAACTTTACCTAACTGGGCATCAGTAGTCTTATGGTTATCTGTAGACAGTTGCTCTGTTTCTTCTGTTGTTCCTTCAACTTGCTCAGGTTTTGCGGTTGCTTGAGCTTCATCAGATGGAGCATCACCATCCTCCGATTGCTTGTTAACCTCATTTTGTTGCAAAGCCTCCTCTTCCACCTTCGCAGGTTCATCTGACTTCCCAGCTTGGAACCCATTCTCACTGGCTGCTATGTTAAGAACAATAACCATCAAATTAGAATAATTATAATATGTAAAGCAATAAACAATCAAAAGAGATAAACTTGTCATAATCTAAGTGGTGCTTGGTTGTTAAATTTTGCTATTTCCTTTTTCTCTAGGGATAAAATGCAAAAAGGGCATTCAGATATGAAGGCAAATATTAATTTTTAAGTATTAAGAATTAAATATTCCCGCTTTTTTTCTGAATATTACATAATAAGTCTAATAGAGCCTTAAATCTTTTCAGTTAACGTTCAGCTAGCAAATAAGCTTACCACTAAATCTCACCATTCTTTTACCTCTTCAATTTTCCCAAACAAGTTTTTATCCAATAATAAATATTCAATTAATCCAAAAGGGGAAAACAACTCCGCGAATGATAACAAGGAAACCCTAGAACTAATATTACACCCATAACTTCATTCCTAAAAATGTACATTTAAAACCGCCAAAAAACCCAAAAAGAAAGACAAGAACTTTTCTTTACCTAAGCCGCCGTCAGTTTTGTCGTCATCGAGCCTAGGCCGCTTGGCCTCGGACGAATCAGATGCTGCTACATCATTATTGTCCGCATCAGGGTCCACAGCAGAGTCGACCGGCATGCCGACATGGGGAGCTTGGGGCTCGACATCCTCAAGCTTCCGCTTATGATCGTAAGGGACGGGACTGGGTGCAGCCGCGACGACCTCTTCCTCCGCCATCTAAAATGTACAAGAAAGGGATAAGAAAAACTAGGGTTTCTGGTTTGGAGAAGGAAAGCCCAAACTGGGAAGCAAGGGGGAGTACGAAAGAGTGCGATGTTGATCGATGGATGAAGTACAAGAGGAAGATTGAGTTTCGTTGGTGTGTGTATGTATAGGGTTTAAGGCCAATTTATCGCTACATTCCCCTTTTCATTTTTCTCATTTTAATTTTGTAGGGTTCTTGGACTTTGGGTTGTAAATAGTTTGTTGGGCCTTATTTTTGGGCTGTAAAACACATGTTAGATCCAATTTTTTTATTTTTTAAAACATTTTTCACTTGTTTAAGCTAATAAATGTTAGATATTAAATTTTAATTTTATAGATATTATTTTTATTTATAATTTTTTTATAATTAATATAATAATACTTCCTAAACTTCATTAACTATTTTAAATATGATTTTAAAATATAATTATTTTTTATGAATTAATTTTAATTTTTATTAATAATATACATAACAAATTTATTTTAATTAGATTTTACAGATATTTTAACAAATAGTATATAAGATATTAGGGTAAGGATTTAGATAGCAATTTAAA